TGGGTGCCTTATATTTTTTGTTAAAGATAGTGACCAAAAATGATTTTAATACTACAAGTGACCATTCATTTGCCTTAGCTGTCGTCCAAACTTGTCCCATGTTGTGTCACAGTTATCTGATAATCAGGCCAAAGCCTAATTGGAAAAAGTAAATGGTGAATGAAAAAAATTTTTTCCTCATGTTCTCCACCCCTAGAGATAAATTTGTTTTTATACAGTCCCAAGGATTTGGACTGCTACTGAAAAAGTCCAAGAGGTTCTCCTCAAGTTCCCAGAAGCCCCAGAAGATTTAGGTAAACTCCTAGTAATATTTAGAGGGAAAGGTTGATTGTGGAGTTATCATGGTATTCTGACTTGCTTTCAAGCTGGAGGAGACTAGTCAATAGAACCATGAATTTAATTAAAACCATCTACAGAGTTCTGGGTTGGTCCATACATCCAAACACTGACAACAGGTCACCATGGTACATATAATAATTTGCACCTGTACTTACCTTATTTACTCTCTCCTTTCTAACCACTTGAATAGCTGCCTTCAAATCCAATTCTATATTCTGCAGAAGAGTTTCCTTAAAAATGTGAGCTTAAAATGCCTAATCTGATTGAGGGACACATGATTGCATGGTAAATGTGCTAATGGCTTATGTCAACGGGTTTAACAGCTTGTCTGATTCTGAGTGATTCTGAGTGGAACTCGGGCTATTAGTTCAACCAATGTCACTAAAATCTCTAACAAAAAATACTGTGTTAAAAACTCAAGACTGGTGATATCATATATTGAGAAAGGTTTGTTTGGATCATTATATATAAACCATTCTAAATCGCTTCAGGCCACCCAACAGATCCTCTGATTATTAGCTAATGAGCCTATTATTAAGATCTCAGGTTCATTAGCAAACATGATACAACATAAAGTGCCTTAATTTAGGAATCAGAATTCAAGTCTTAGTTATTGCTTATTAGCCATGTCAGCTAGCCTCTATGAACCTGTTCCTTCATTATAACTACAACTTCATAAAACTGCTTTGAGCGTAAAGTGACATAACTGAAGTTCAAGAACTCTGATAACCAGAGAGCTATGCCAACAGCACTGTGGTGCTTCCCAGAGTGTGGTAGGCCAGTGGTGCATGATAGGAGTCAAATGAGGTGAACTGGAGAGCATCTTCAGGGAAGGGAAGCCCCTTTAATGTAATTATAATCCTCCTCTGAATCACTATCAAGAAAAAACCCAAAGTCTCACTAAAGCTGAATATATAAAAATTCACTAAAGATATGTCTCTAGGGTACCAAACCTGAAAAGGTATGTTTAGGGTTTCTGATAAGAATGAGTTTGAGTCACAGAATTGGAAGAACTAGAATAGGACAAAGTAAATAGAGCCTATAACAAGGACAGAGCAAAGGGAGCAATTAAAGCCAGGCCCAGACCTAAGTCATGGACTAAACTCTCTGTCCTCTTCCAAGAAAACAACCAGCCCACAGTAATGTTCGCCTCTCGAAAATGTTGACATCCAAGAGAAAAATCCTATTCCCCACTGGTGCCTTTCAGACCATTGGAAGAAAAAGGCCTTATTTACTTGGTCTTTACCTAATCAACTAGAAAATCCCTTTGGTGGCTGTCTCAGTCAGTTCCAGGCTGAATAAACATTTATTCTTCAGGGTTCAGGAGGGCCAAAGCTCAAGATCAGGATGCCAGCATGGTCAGGTTCTTGGTGAGAGCTCTCTTCCTGGTTCTGTCCTCACCTGGCCTCTTCTTGGTGTGTGCATGCAGAGTGAGGTTCCATAAAGCCATTAATCCTATTATGAGGGCCCTACCGTGATGACCTAATCTAACTCTAATTGCTTCCCAAAGGCCACACCCCTAAGTACCATCACTTGAGGGTTAGGGTTTCAGCATATGAATTTTGGAAGGGTACAAACATTCAGTTTGTTGCACAGCAGTTGCACATAAAAACCAAGTTCCTATAAAGGGTAACAGATCATCTAGCAAAGTGTAAGAGATCTATTTTGAACCAAAATTAACATGACATGAGCCTAAAGTCTCTGAATGTAGAAAAAACATCAGAAAGGCCACCAATCAACCACCTATGGAAGTCATCAAAGAACAATGCAGAGTAACTATGAAGTTCAGAGTCAGCATGGCAGTACACAATCAAGAGCTGAAGCCCAACACTAAATATGGCCTTTGTTTTAATTTGTTTTTAGTTACTTGTTTTTAGGCAGGACCACAATGGGAATGATGGATTTCAAATCTTCCTCATGTAAGAAACCAGGTACAAGCTAGGAAATCTGATCTCAAGAAAAAGATCAAGAAAATATGATGTTCAGACAGAAAAACTCTATGGAGAGTATTCAGGTGAATCTCCTGAATTTGAGTAGAGATTGTGATAGAAAACCTTTTTGACCTGAAACTGAAAAATATGCAAGCAGTTCAAACATTTATTGATCACTTAAAATATTCCAAGTCCAGTTCTAAGTGCCTTACGTGTATCAACTCATTTAATCCTCATAACTTAAGAGGTAAGTATTATAGGGGCACCTGGGTGGCTCAGTCGGTTAAGCGTCTGACTTGGCTCAGGTCATGATCTCGAGGTTTGTGAGTTCAAGCCCCACGTCGGGCTCTGTGCTGACAGCTCGGAGCCTGAAGCCTGCTTCGGATTCTGTGTCTCCCTCTCTCTCTGCCCCTCCCCCACTTCTGCTCTGTCTCTCTCTATCAAAAATAAATAAAATTTTTTTAAAGAGAGATAAGTATTATTATTGCCCATTTCTATGGATGAAGAGGCTAAAGCATAGAGACTTAACTAACTTTCTCAAAGTCTTAAGCTACTAGCTGAAAAAGTTGGGGTTCAAACCTAAGCAAGTTGGCTTCAGAATGCACTGACTGCTACACTGAACTTATTACCATCTATACAAAAGAGGCCCTTGCCTAAAGTGGCCAAGAAACTGAAAGAAACTAAGTCAAACTTTGACTAGAGGATACAAATAAAGGCTGAGTAATAGGGTCTATCCCTTTGCCTGAGCATTTCCAAGCATCCTAAAAGACTTTAAGTCTGTAACAAAATATGATAGAAAAGAAAATCCTAAGAAGTTTTAAAGGTAATATAAAAATCTCTGAATGAAAATATCTTATTAAATAAATTTGATAATAAAGTTCATTAGGTCAGTTGGCTACACTCTGGTAATGAAGTCAAAGGTTAATCTTAGTCTGGCCTTTTTGTTCCCACATGGCATATGACAGTTCCGTTTTCCAGAATCATCCTTTGTTCAAAAAAGAGCCCAACACTTAAACAGGAATTACAAACAAGGCCCAGAGTTTGTACACCTTAGGAGCAGAGGTAAGACTAGAACCACTGTTTCTTAAAAAAACAAAAAAAACAAACTTCTGTGTTTTGAATACCAGACTCAGTGAATAAAAATTCTCTTTTTCTCTCAAGTATCAGGATTTGTGATGCAAAAATAAAAGTCCAAAAACTTGGTGAGGATAAAATGTTTCCACAAACTATATAAAATCTATAAATACTACAAGAAGCTGGAAAGAGTTTCAAATGAGGTTTGGAGAGGTTTGCTTCAAGCTTAATACCTTTTTCCATTTCTGTAACAAGTTAGAGTATCCCTATAAATACAAAGTTCAGCCTATATTACCATATTCACACACTCAAAGAATGAACAAACTTCAAAAATAACACTTCTCTTTGGCAAAATCAGTAAATGAATTAATTTTGTCATATAATCATTTCAATCTAACATTTTACTTAGCAGATAAATATTTATAAAAAAGCTGTAAATTGTATAAATACTTTTGTCAAAATGCTAAGGGAAAGAAGCCAGACACAAAAGATTACATGTTCTATGATTCTATTTACATGAAATTCTAAAAAAGCAAAACTAATGGTAGAAAACAAATCATTGTTTACCAAGGGCCAGGGGTGGGAGGAAGGGAATGACTGTAATTGGATACATGAGTTTTGGAGGTGAAGAAAATGTTCTATATTATGACTATGGTGGTAGATAGACAACTGTATATACATTTTCTAAACCCATCGAACGCTATACTAAAAACTGGAGAATTTTATGTGAAATTATATCTCAATTTGAAAAAAGATTATACATAATAAATCAGCATGCCTTTCAAAGAATCATTTCAGTAAAAATATTTTACTTAGTAAAGAAATATTTGTGGAAAATCTGTAAATAATATCTTTTAAATCATAAGCACTGTTTATTTTCTGACATTTTTATAAGAAATATTTCTTAAATATTCTTCTAGAAAACAAAGCAAAACTATGAAGCACTTGAAAAGTAACTTTGAATGCAATTTAAAACCCTCTAAAATGTTTCATAAACACAACACAATGATGACTTGGTAGGTCTTTCAGTATTTTTTCCAGAATGTAACAGTATACCGAAGGTCATAAGTTTAGGTTGCACAGGGGCCAAGTAGACAACACAAGTGAGTAGCACGGAGCAAGTGTTAACTATAGTAAACTGCAAAACACAGGTCCCTTCCCAAGTGAGCTGCTACCAGTGGTTCCTACTTACTGATGCCAGGAAAGAATACAGACCACAGTGCAGCCAGAGCTTCTGATGTTTAAAGAAAAGCAGAAATCTAGACTTTATGTGAAATTCCCTCATTTTTTAGAATGGTGGTTTAAATTTTTTTTACAACACCATAGGGCCAAACAAAACATATCCATGGGCAGAATTATGACCTCTGGTCCACAGTGCATGCTTTCTGAACTTTTTCAGTAACAAAGTCTTGTCATTTTTCTAACTGCTTGCCTTTTTATTTACAGTGAATCTGGAATAATGGGGAATACTAATGCAACTGAAGTAAATTCATCTCAAAATTACATAAAGACTAGTCACTTATGGTCTTTTGCAGAAAAACCAAGTCCTGTTTACATTTCTAAGCATACTGGTTGGTAAGAAAAGGAACAATCAGTTAGAATGAAGGAAGAAGGGGTGGGGAAAAACTGAAGAAAATCACAACTTTAAGACCACAGTCAGCTTCTAGACTCCAGAGCAACAAAATAATCCATGTGTTGAAATTTGAGAACTTCATTGCCCCAACTAGTCCAACCCGGCTGTAAATTTCGAGCAAACAATTCCAAACATTCCCCATCTGGCTTGACATAGTCTTTTAGAACCTCTGTCCAAAAAAGAGAAAAAAACATAAAAATTATTATTAAGAAAGGAATCAATTTCCTTTTAGCAGTTAAAAGCAAAGAACAGGGATGTTTCCTTTTAAAAAAGGGGTGGGGAGGAGGATAGCTAATTAATTTCAAGGATTTCATCACAGGCTTTACTATTTATAGTTAGAAATCATTTGAAATGAGCACTCCTGAGATTGGGGATAATACCATCAGAACTTTGAGAAGTCCTAATTTATCAGGTTTCATTTGTAGATGAGAAATAAGGATTTTAACACCCACACAGGTGACTTTTCAATTTTCCAATACTGACACATCTCCTGAGTACTAACTTAATTTTTTAATAAATGTAATCCACGCATGAAAAATAAGTGTATAGGAACAATACAAAAACAATTCACTTAAAAAACTGAGATAAAAATATAAGTGTCTGCAAGCATATATACTAGCAAAAGAGCAGTAAATGAAAAATTAGGCATCAATAAAAATATTGAGAACACATAACTAACAAATATAACAATATCCTCTTAGCTATAACTGGATATAGTACATTCCCTCATTTCCAAATTATAGACCCTTTTTACCTAAAATTTCACCATACTATTTCCACAGATAAGTATTTTTTATTTAATGTATATATGTATTAATAACTACTGAAAACTTTATTTTTGAGAAAAAAAGTACATCATATATATGGTGACTAAATGCTATGACATACAGTGACAGAAAGAATATACCATAGAAGCCTTTTTTTAAAGTACATGTTCATTTGGATGACAATATTTAAATCAATTTAACCTTGATCATGTTCTGGTTAGCTATATTAACATTACAGGAACTGGGTATGAAAATAATAATTGAGGGATGAAAAGTCACCAGAAGAGTATTTTCTAAATATAGTTCTTAACTGCTATACAAGATTGAGCTTAGAAGAAATCTATCAAATTCCCTTTAGGAATGATAAGTATTCCTTAGGAGTACTTGATATAGGTAAAATTTAAAAGAAAATGTATTTAAAGTTGCAGAGAGGGAGGGAGGCAAACCATAAGAGACTCTTAAATAGTGAGAACAAACTGAGAGTTGATGGGGGTGCAGGAGAGGTGAAAGTGGGTGATGGGCATTGAGGAAGGCACTTGGGATGAACACTGGGTGTTCTATGGAAACCAATTTGACAATAAATTATATTAAAAAATTTTTTTAAAGAAAGAAAATATATTTAAAAACACGTTTCATAATGTTCTCCAGTTGCTCTCACAGCAAAATAACGGTTTATTTGTTTAAAAGCATTGGTATTATTCACCAAAAATCAAGGAATTTATGAAGTATTCATTGTCTATAACCCAAATGAACTCAAATTTGGGCTTTGATAGTTTTTAGGAGATGCCAACATGAGGCTTCTAGTTCTTTTTTAAGTGTATAATTATAACTAAATGTCATTAAGCCTGAAAGAAAATTTCCCCAGAGTCTTAGAGGACAATAAACCTATATCACATTTCTATTTTTTCCTCATGAATTCAATGCCTTACCAACCTCAATTCACTTTTACTGTCATCTAAGGTTATAGTGAAGGAAGATTTTGTTTGTTTTTGCTTATTTGTTCGGTTTTTCAGTTTTTAGGCACAAAGATGTTAGCAACTCTATTTTAGACCCTTAATCTGGAGTCTAAACTGGAGTCAGACAGTCAAAATTGTTTACTATTCTGAGCACTCACTATAATTAGTGCTATGGAATTTAACAAAGGAAACAGTTATCCATGTTTTCTAAGAGCACACAAGCTAGTAGAAAACGATGGCCATGTACTTGGAGTTGACAAATACAGTACATAAAACCTAAACCCATTTACTACTTCCTACTTTCCCAAGGTAACATATTTCTGCATGTGTTTTTTTTTTTTTTTT